GTACCACCGTGGCTACTATTTGCTTCTACATCGTGTATGTCCACTAATGCCATATCCTTTGAACTTACACTAGTATGCTGAGCTGGTCGAATATGAAATAGATGAACTTTCGTTACCTGGACAGCGTTTCAAAACTCCCACCCTATCCTATCATTGAATTAAGGATAGGTAGGATGGGGAAATTCTTTTGCCCAGAATATGGTGGGATTCTGGCGGCTCAGAATAGGATGGGAAGGATGAGAACAGTTGTAATATTCAATTAAAATTGCAATATAAAGCTATTCTTAATATTATTATAACCTTATTACTTGTTGGTTAAAATTGAAGCAAGAAAGACACTGCACAAGTACCCAATTTTATGAGGGATTTGTGTAGGGGAATAATATTTTTTATTTTGGAGTTTTGATTGGCTTCCAACCTTAAACAATCTGACTCGATTTAACAACTATTGGCTAACATATGTATTGAAGCGATATCTCTCATGTGGTATCATCTTTAAGAGTCTCCATCCTGGGGTTAGAATAGGATAGGAGAGGAGAAACATGGGAGTTTTGAAGCGCTGCTTTTGTAGATGCTGGTTAGCGTTGAAATGTTCATGATCATATAAGGGTTCGGAAGATGGCAGTCGCCAAATTGAAGGATATAGCATATAAAGATCGTAATAACATGGTTTTGAGAATTAGGCGTCTGGAAATATGATTGTTAATTGGAGTTTCACACGTAGGGCACGAGAGGGTCGGAAACGAAAAATGTTTAATTGAATAATGTGTGTAATGTTAAAATTGTAAGTAGGAAGAGTAGGAGAGGATTGACTTCTCTGGCTACTAGAGAGGAACTATGTCAAAAAAGTCTGGCGGGATGATGACGTTTCTTGAGGCCCTGCAAGCGGGGCATGAGACGGTATCCGGGTTTCCTTCTCGGAACCAGGGAAGGATGCAATCATGATGGAAAATATGAAGACCGCAGAAGACCCGACGAAGGCCTGTGAGCCCACCGACTCCCGGGACATGCAAGGATTGGCGACAGATTCCACAGATTTCGTCATCTGGGATATCCGCTGGGAGGACTGGTGCAAGAATTGCGGGGTTGGGATCCGTTTCATCGTACAAATGTTCAAGCTCAGCATCCGGGATGCCTCTTCTGATCTGTCCGAAGTGGTAAGTTTGTTGTGCGACGTACCAGCTTCGGGTTCTGTCAAGTCTGATGGAGTTCAAAGCCAATCTATCGAGTATCTCTTCGGTCAACTCATCTGCACCCTCGTTATGAAGCTGCAGTCCTACTTCGTAGGCTTCCTTGCCAGTCTCGGCATCGAGTTCGAAAATCTCCTGTCTTGCGAAAAGTGTTCTTTGCTCCTCAGTGTATCGTGCCCAAAACTCCCGACGAGATTGGATCTCGGCGGGTGTGATTGCTTCCGCGTCAGACCTCCATTCTTTAATAACAGCATCAGTCTCGGGATTCAAGCATGACTTACAGGATGAGTCGAGGACTGTGGCTTGATTGAAGTGATAGGCTCTACATTGGCAGTCAATATATTGACCTTCGACGTAAGGATTTCTATCGAAGTTTCGGCAATGTTCATGTTCATGCTTGATTCTGGTGATGACGTGGCCACATACTGTGTGGAATGTCTCGTCAATGACGCAGAGTTCTTGTGCAATGTCCATGTTTAGTTGTGTTATTGCAAGAGTCTGAGATTCTTGGGTTTTGAGACATGCAGATCACTGTACGATGATCCAGTATTTATAGTCAGGGCAAAAAGCATTGTTTCGAAGGGTAAGTTGAGTATATGGTCTATTTATACATCGTTCTCGACTTATTCTCAATTTGTTCCTGAACCGATGTGAACAGAGTCAAAACAACAACGAATTCAGATTCGTAGACTTGAGACTCCCGAAGTTTCTTTTTGACCTGACATTATCATAAGTCTCATCATGAGTCACTAGATGATCTTGAACATCTAGGGCTATGGTTTGGAGATCTGAATTAGGTAAATCGAGGAACGTTGTCCGCGTAATATGTCAGCGCAATTTGTTGGCTGCGACATCAAAAGCCAAAAACCACGAACATCGAGAACATCGTCTGAGTCCCATCGCATCTGAGGAAAAGCACCATTAAAATCGCGAGTTTCCGACACATGTTGACTCCAGCAAGAGTGTTTTGGTGGGTATGGTTGACTATACGCGTGTGGAGGAAGATTACAGCTTTGGGAAGCAATGCCACACTAATGACAATGCAAGATCTTTTTAACCTCATTGAGAAAATCAATTCTCAATCAATTATAATCTATACAATGCATAGAAGTGTAAGCACAACATGAGCTTTAAGGGACAGTCGTAACCCCGCCATCGTTGTTGAGAAGGAGAGAAAGGAAGTCGTCCAAAACTTATGTGGAGAATCTTTTACCCCGCCAAATACCCGCTCGCTAACCTAATGCGTCCAATCATCTCCTCGAAACAATTCTATTGAATCCAAACACATAAAAGTAACAATTGTGACGATATACGGATTGATTGTTCGATTGTTTCATTTCAACTGACAATTTAAGCTTTGATGTGTCCTGATATACCGATATCCTGACAGCCGCATGAGAAATTGACTTGCGAATGGTCAAACACTCCCAGCTCCGACGCCACGAATAACAGGTTGCTCACCCATCAAAGTGGCGTCGAAGTTCTCAACAATTCTGAAGTCACGATCGAATGCTCGATGAAAGTGTGCAGAATGAGTTGATCAGTGTCAATGTTCAATTTTTCAATCCCTTCCTCAGTGGCGTTGTTCAGTTTCTAGAACTGGCTATGTGACACAGCCGCGGCTACATACTTGATATGCATTGAAAAGCCCATTGGCTTCACATGATTTGATTTCACACTCACAGCACAATTATTGCAATCGGCGATGGGATCTGGAAAATCAGGTCATATACGCATGAAAACAGGTTGCTTTCAGCAGGTACAGCAAAAATTCACATGCTGTAAGCCCAGTGGTGTGATTTCCTTCAAACCCAGCCACGATGAAACTACCCGATAGGTCAATGAAACTATTCCGACCACGAATGTTGAAGTGGCTTCGCACTCTCGCGTCACATTGATAATAGCATCTAAGCATGACGCCTCACTCGATTTTCTAACTTGTTATATATATAAGTCTTTGATGCTAGGTGCAAAGATAATTTCATGCCCGCACCGAACAAGTATTATCGATTCACAAACTATCAAAACAATACAAACAATACACCTCAATACCACAATCTTCATATCGCATCGCAAATACAACCACAATGACACGCCCTGGACCTGGAATGCGAGGCTACTCGGATATTATGAATGCCAGTGATAAAGAGTTACATGGCAATGGACAAAAAGTCGACTTCCCCCATGAGAACATGGGAGCCCATACCCTCTGGAAGCAGAATTCCGAGGGAACAACTCCAATATGGCATCTAAGGGTAACAGTACTCAAGAATAGCGATGCTCGGGGCGATTGTCCAAATCGTATCTTTGTGAGTCTTCTCGTTGTCTCACTGATGAAGATATTCGTCTACTAATAGTTCTATTTAGGCATTCAAAACTTTAGAAGAAGTCACTCGTGCTATCAATCAAGTTGAAGCTGCTTTCGGAAATACGTTTGAGTTGAAGAAATGTGGAATCGATTCTCCAGATGCGATGGGTGGAAGAGTTAATGATGGGAGAAGTGAGAATATCACGATTGAATTCGACTCCAATGCGACAAGGGAATCATGGGCAGAGTTCTTAGCAAGGTTAAAGGAATTGGAGGATGAGTGGTCACATGCAACTGAAATTTCGAGTCTCTGAAGGGTGCTGTGGATGAAAGATACTTTAGAAAATAGAATGGTTGAAGGAGCGATGAGTTAGAGGAAGTGCTGGGAGGCAGTATCAATTTTGGAATAACGGGACAGTAGAATGTAATCGATCAACGAAAATTTCAGAAGTCGTAAGAATCAAACAAATTGAGAACAAAATCTGACCTGAGACACATGATGCATCAAAGATCAGTCAAGTCGCAACGCAAGAAATCTAATACCAACACTTCATCGTTGGGCTGGAACTATTCATACCCCAAAGCGACCTAGAAATTGCAATTGAATTATAGAAATGAGCTGACAATGCAAGAAGTGTATCTGACATCTAATCCTCAGCCGCCACCCCTCGTCTCTCGAGAGCCAAACCTCTCGACCTAATAACATTTCAAGGCGAAAGACAGAGGACATCATGTGTCGATATAGGTCTGTCTAATAAGCTCATCAACACCAGGGAACGACGAAAAAAAGGAATCACCAAGGGGGCAACCGAAAGGTCCAACAACACCATTTCTCGGCTCCTCACGGACCTCAACTGCCTTCAAAACAATGATAATAAACGAGAATCAAAGCAGATCAACTCAGAATGATCGGGGATTAGACGTGAAATTAGTGGAAAAGATGCGAGATCGATGAATATTTGAAACATAGAGGTTCACTTCTATCACTTTGCCTCGGCGAAGAGCATGAGAAACTCTGCTCTGCAACATCTGTCTAGTAGAAGTCTGTTCAGGGTAGTGATGGGAATCAGTGGGAAGTAAGTAGAAACGGCGAGGACCTAGGTAGTTTAAGACGATAATTTACTGGATGATTTCACATCTAGCTTTCGAAGAGTAGAGATCCCGAAGTGAGATTAAGAACGAATTCTTCAACGAAAGAGGAAACGTTGATAATAATGTGCTATTATTCATACGTTAAGTAAGAAATGAAGATTTTAGCAAGACCAAGCATTTTCTTATCCCAAGACAATTAGTGCTCCAAGCATATGCCCCCACCACAGACCCAACGCCGGAAAGTATATTTTACGCGGAAGACCCTGATTTCCGCCCTCATATCCCTGAAAAAGACCGTGTGCCCCGCTCTCCGAATTATGTACATCGACGTCTAGAAGATCTCTGGGTATCCAGTCGTGATTCCCACAGCACAACCACCATGCTATTCATGCAATGTTGATTGGACCTTTTCACAATCGTTTTTCCTTATCATCCCAGCTTTCTACCAGCACTACTTTCTCATCACTGAACGGGTTGTGGACATACACCTCTTTCTCGTCATAGTATATGGTATCGTTCCTAGGTTCCGACATTGCATTTCTCATGTTTTGATGGGATCTGCGACGAGACATATTGGGGGGTCTAATTGACATGAAATTAGCATGCTATTATCGAATCACTAATCCAAGTTGGTATACTTACAACGGAGGCAAAGGCTTCTGTTTCTGAACAAGAGCTTCCTGTGGCAGTGGTGGCAGTGGTTTATCGTAAATATAAAATACCGTCCCATCACATGGACCTGAATAGCTCAATCGCGATTCCCGGGCTCGAATTGTTGTGGGACATACTTCTGCAGCTAGAGTGGTGCCAGTGTAGGCGGAGAAAGTCGAATCACAAGAGTTGCGAGAATAAACTGAAGAGCTTCGGTTGTGTTTTGGGCCGGGTGAGTGAGGCACTTGTAGAAGTACTAAGTTCGACATTGCGATATATCATATGTTTCTCAGCCGTATTTTTAGGTCAGAAGAATTTCTTCACTTGGGTAGTTATTGAATGTGTGTTAAGTTATTGTGAACAATCGTCTACAACTCTGAGCTGGGAGGGCTTTCCATCTTATGTATATCCTGGAAGCTGAATACGTAATCTAACATGTCGTACGACGACGTTACAGTAGGATTCTCTCGCACGATCAAGCCGAAATTTGTATGATGTTTGGGGCGCAGAAACAGAATCCTTCATGATGAAATACTCACCATGAAATACTGAAATTCGCCTTGTGGATGAAGGGGTAGGATTTAAAGTTAAGCTTTGGCGAATGACCGATGACCCGACAACCCTGCATTCCGGGGCAGTCAAATCCTAAATCTCACCAAAACTTTTATATATAGAAAATGTTTAATTGTTTCTGTTATTTTGCAAGTTCATTCCATGAATTGAAACGTGGCGTAGATAATGAGTTTGTTTTGGAGAGGCAGATAAGACTGTTGACGAATAGGAATATCGTATTTAAGCCATTTCTTCTTGAATATCTTGAAATTGGTATTGCCACAGTATGAAGCCTAACACGGCTTGCAGTCAATGGCCATTTTTATCTACCTTCCAGAATCCGGGGTTCTACGACCATCCCCGAATTCGACTTATTATTAGCATGACAACAGCATAAAACGAGATTGGAAGTGATTCTCTCGTTGTTGCTGGGCTCTCGTCTCCTTTTATCCTCTCTTGCTGGCTCACATTTTACAATGGTAAAGAGTCGTAAGACCTCCGTGTGAAATTTCGCTCATCAAGTTAGTGGGTAGTAATCTGCTCTTGATGTCACCTCGTGGTTGATATTGTGTCCCGAAAATCTTTGTGTCTGTTCTTTGTGTACCAGATGGAGTTCCTCTGTATCTTCAGTTGTTGAGTTGATAACGACAACACATACTACCTATCGATGTGTCTTTCGACGATTATAGTCGTTGAATAAGGCTACTTCATTTTTCATTCACGATGGGTAATTGTCTCACTCGTCTGGAGGCCGAAATGGTTTCACCTCCTCCCATTCCTGGAAATTGGAAAGACCTTGGACCTCGAAAAGCTATTCTTCGCAGTCCACAGCATGCACAGGCTAGGAGAAGATTTAGGAGAGAGAGTGGAAGTGATAGATACGAAGAGGGGAGTAGACTGCTTTTAGCGAGAAGGGAAAAATCGAGTGGCATTGAGGGTCTAACTTTTGATTATGCGGGGAGACCTGTGTAAGTCTATAATGTTCCTGAAGATCTCATATCTACTAGTCAGTTGAATTTCTTGCGGTGGCTAATCATGACGCTTGCGTAATAGTTGGAGGGACCCAAGACTGCAGATGCACGACTCCGATGATAGTGAAGCTGCGAAGGCTGGGGATATTGAGGAGACACTATAGAGTTTCAAGACTTTAAACTAATCAACCAAGCCAGCAGAGACTTGCGACATGACTTCACAATTATGGTTCACCTCCCGCTGGGCATACAGCCTTATTTTGTTTCATCTATGTTATTTTGAACTTCGTTCTTATTGCTATTGCATATGTCGTCTTGATTTCTAACACCGCATAGAACTTTAATCTTAATTACATCTTTGTTTATCAATAGAGACAATAGAGTAGGCGATTTCAAATCACGTACAAACATCACTCCGATAGTGAGACCGCAGAAGCAGGCTGTATCATGAAATTATAATAGTTTACCAAGATATCGCTCTATTCTACAAAGCTCTATCGTCCAAAAGCGCCAAATGCTGCTTTAAATAGCATTCCATTCTAAAATTTGCCATCTTAACTCTAGCATTCAAACTTCGAGTATCATTGGCAAATTCCTATATCCCACTAGCAGCAAGTATCGCTGGTTGCTCCAAGATGAAAGCAGGCCCCGCAACAACAGATCCCTCCGTAGGTGCATCCAACTCATTCGCAATAACCGCTAAGATTATACCCTTAAGCTCTAGATCAGAAGGGAAAATCGTGCTATTAGTAGCAACATCATACGGAACCGATATTATCTCCAACCCGTGAAAGAAAACAGCATAATAATCTTTCCCCTCTTCAAAGACCGGCATCGCAGCCCCATTACTACCTTTCTCGTACACAAATGTTAAGTTCCCTCCAGCAGCAACATTCTCAGGGGTTTTCAATTGGGGCAAATGTTGACTGGGAGAGGGATACCCGGGATTTGCACTGGGACACGAACCATCGATAATAAATTGATTCGTCGAGTCTAGAATTTGATTCGCATACGGAAAACTCGTATCGATCGGTCCGGCAAACGGATCAGCTCCCCAAACAGAGATCAAAGCCCACGTAGTGTGCCGAGTCTCCGTCTCCCCAATTCCCATCAAGGCACCTTTCGTCACATTCAAGTTTGCTTGCTGCACGAGTCCAGCCGCAAAAGCCATACTCGAGACTTCAATCAATACTTGCAACTCTAAGAACTCGATGGCAGTGCTCCAGCCAAAATCGTATTTGCATGCGCCGGGTTTGATCGATGTGTTGGATATGGAGTTTTGGAATATTCGAAGATGACCAGCTTCGTTGTCGCGAATTTCTTGGATGCGATCGTAGGTGGTGTTTGGGAATCCGATGGATGTGAATGATGTAGTATTTAGAGCCTCCACGGCTTGCTGATAGAAGGAGAATACTGCCCATTCTGCTCCTAGAAGATTCTGAAAGAGAAGGTCATCGGGTCCGGGTGGACCACTTCCTGTTGGTAAGATCGGTGATGTAAAATTCCCTGGAAATGGAGCAGATTTACCGCGATATGAACTATAGTAGTCCGTTTCGCTGGGTATAGGACCAGTAGACGGGTCTGAGATGTTGAGAGATGCTGGAAGGGAAACTGATAGGCTTGTAGAGCCTAGGATAGACAACAAGACAAATTTGGAATGCATCATGAAAATCTGTCAGCTAAAAGCTTAGTGAATGAAGTAGTGATGTGAGTGATTAAGTTGAAACAACGAGAAAGGCTGAGATCCGGTCTTGATATCAGGCGAAGGAACCTTTCTTATATGCATTGTAATGCTCAAGCAATGACAGACCTCAAGTTCAAACATCATTCTTGTAATCGACAGATTACCAAAATCTCACCATCATCGTCAACTTGCTTACCTATGCTGACCTTCCCCCCACTCAACTTCGTAATGACAACCAACCACGAATTACAACTCCCGCAGTCTACGAAAAGACTTCCCATTTCACAATCCGTAACGCATGCCCCAAGAAAACAAGCATCGGCTCATTTTAACAATCCTACATAGAATCGCAATGTTGTTTGCACACTTAATCAATCACCTCTCACCACCAATAAATCTCTCCACATGGACTGCAATCGGGTTACCTCTTCAGGTAATGAATAAGTGGTTAGCAGCTCGTAGCGTCAAAGTCAGCCGCATCGCTTACAGTTAAAGTTCTGCACGGAGTGACATACATTTAGTTGTATACTGGGATGAGGCAAGGCGAGACTAAATTTGTGAATATAGAAAAAATCTATTCCATTTTTGAATAAGCACGTTTTGTCTTATGGGTATAACATAGGACCAACCAAGGCACGATGGAAAATCATACCATACAGCATAACTTGACAATTCGGATAAAAGGTGATTTATTGAACATAATGGTAGTGTGAAGGCTATGATATTCAAAAGTACTCGAAGTCTTGGGTCATTGGATTGTAGTCTGGTACATTGGAATTCGTGCGCTTAGTATATTGTATATCATTTATCTCGTATCATATCAATCAACTAAAAGAGTATCCGCTAGTAAACACATCACAGCAAAACAGAAAGGAAATTTAATACATCTCAGGTCCGTACCAAAATAATAACCTTTCCACGCATCATTTTTAGTATAAAGCCACCTACGCCCACCTACCAGCCGAACCCATCTCATTATTCATTAGACGATCTTCACTAAATCCTCCCAATCACGATCCATTCCATCACAATTCGTCCTTTTTTCCACCAACAGCTTGGGTGGCCTCTCCAACAACACTTCCCACACTACTAGCCATCTGCTCAACACCCTCACTCGCTTTACTGAGAGCCTCATTTCCACCTTCTCCAACCGATGATGCGAACTCTGTCAGCTTAGCTCGTGCTGACTCAACTGCTGCATTTAATCTTGATTGCGCACTCTCCACAGCACCTTGTTCATGGCCATAGATGGCTTCTGAAACTTTAGCTTGCGCAGCTGAATAGGATTCTGCAGCCGCAGAAGTTGCAGATGAAAAGTTCTCTGCTATAACCTGAGTTGCTGACTCATAAGTGCCAGTGGGTGTTCCGTAGATTGCTTCTGAAATCGCCTTTTGAGCGGAGGCAGCGGCGTTTGAAATCGAAATTTGAGCTTGATCTGCATATCCTGATTGTGTGCCATATATGCCCTCGCTCGCGGCGCTAGAGGCTGAAGCATAAGCAGAGGCAGCTGCTTCGGTAGCCTTTTCATAAGCACCCTTTTCGGTACCATAATACTGAGCACTAGCAGCTTCAACAGCCTCGTTGAGGTGAAGGGAAGCAGCATCAAGAATTTCCTCAATTGCAGGAGGAGGGGTGAAGATTGAGTTAGCAACGGAACTAGCCGATGCGTAAGCTTGACTTGCGTAAGATGACGCCGAAGAAACAGCATCACCTGCACCCGTGTAGTAAGCGGAGCTCAATCGACTATAAACGCTTTCGGTGAAATCGGGTTCTTTTCCAACAACCAGCTCATTGATAAGAGATTGCACAGCCGAATATTGAGACGCTGCACCGTCTGTAGCTTGTGCAGCATATTGTTGTACATTCGAGAGGAAATTGCCTGTGACAAAATATGGTGTGGGGGATCCATAGACTTGTTGACTAGCTTTCGTAATAAGAGCTTCCCAGTTTTCACTAGCGACAGAAGCAAGAGATTCAGGAAGTGGTGTTGCGCTGCTAGAAGTGACCGCATTCATTTTTTGAGATATTTCGGAAGAAAGACTAGCGTAGCTCGCAGAAGCTT